GGCCCCTAGAACAAGGAGCCACCAGGCTGCATGTCCTCAGTACCGGGCAGTCTCCTCTGGTGACTCAATATACAGGAAGAACTTGTTTTGGAATTAGATAGGAGGAGGCACTTCCTGAGAGATATGGATCTTCATATCTTGAGCTACACAAGAGGGGGATGCATGTAAGACTGATCCAACTGGGTGGAGCCCCATTAGATGCTCATTGCCCATGCACCCTGTTCTCTTTCCATGCACCTGCCGCTTTGCTTTCCAATTCCATCAGATACAGATATGAAAGCTCCTGGGATAGGACAGTTCCCTGATGTCACCACTCACTTTGTGGTGCTTCATTAAATGTGGTCGGGGATATTTGAATATTAGATATGAAGGACACTAACATTCGAATTTTGTTATGTGTGATAATATAGTTCTATAAGAAAATGTCCTTTGATTTTAGATGTGTATTTCAAAATAATATGGGGTTCAGGATGTCTACAATTGACTAAACATACTTTAGCAAGAAAAGCAAATGATGCAAATATTGTTATATGCTAATAATTGTCAAACCTAGCAAGTATTTGCATGCTCATTATACTATTCTTTCTACTTGTTCATACCTTGGAAAATTTCCACAGTAAAAATTGAAAAAAAAAAAAAAAAGCAGCTGGGCGTGGTGGCGTGTGCCTGTAAATCCCAGAGGCTCAGGAGGCTGAGGCAGGAGGATCTTGAGTTCAAAGCCAGCCTCAGCAACAGAGAGGTGCTTAGCAACTCAGTGAGACCCTGTCTTTACAAAATAGGGCTAGGGATATGGTTGCCCCCAGTAACCCCCCACAAAAAAATCTAGTCTTGGGGGATGGTACCAGAAGACCTCAGAAATGACAATCTCCCAAATTAACAAGTGAATTACAACTCCATACAGAGAATGCATGGAATGTAGCCTTTGAATCACCTCTTTAAAAGTCCCCTGTTCCCCCATGGGCAGAATCACAGCCTCTGGGACAGGAGTCCCCTGTGCTTCCCTTTGCTAGCAAAGAAATAAAACTTCTTTTTTTTTTTTTAAAAAAAAAAAAAAAAGGCAGCTGGGCATGGTGGCATACACCTCTAATCCCAGCTACTTAGGAGGCTGAGGCAGGAGGATCAAGGTCAGCCTGAGAAAGTTAGTGAGAATCCTGTATCAAAATAAAAAGACTGGTGGTATAGCTTACTGATAAAGCCCAGAATTTGGAAGTCCTTGGTTCAATCCCTAATACTAAAACAACAACAAAAACCAAAACTCATACTTGTTGTAGGGAGATTAATTTTTTTTTCTCCTTCAGAAAAATTTCTAAAGTACATCTTAGGTACTTAAGGTACAAGAGCGGGTGTAGACATAGTGCAGTTTTGCTGGGCACAATGAATGAAGACCTTGTGCTGAGAATTCAAACAGGAGGGTAGATTCTGGGAGACTGAGAAAAGGGTAGGGTTTCCTTTAGTCTCTAGGCTTTGTTCATTCTCATCCATGGCCAGAGGGGCCACCTTAGGGGCTCAACAATGGCAGGAGGTTGGCAGGCTAGAGGTCCTATGTTGATGTTATGACCCAGTTTGGATTGCCACTGAGGCTGCCCCACAGTATGCATTACCCACCACCCAGCTCTCTCTGAGAGGGCCCATCATCTACCTGGAGCTGGAGCTTCACTCCCAGATTGGCCACCTCATGAGGAAACATCCCCCATTCCCAGAGCTCCTGGCTACCTTGGATGAAGGTCCATAGGTCTCCCTAGCTGAGGATCAGCACCATCCCTGGGATCCCTGTCACAGATAACACAACACTTTTGCCACCTTTACCTCCTTTGAAGCTCATAAAGGTCCTAATGGATGCCCAGCCGTATTTCACAGAGGGTCTGGGGCTCAGGGAAAATGCCCCAGTCAGGAGGGGGAGCTGGCTCTATTCCAGCCCTGTCTTCCCATTTTTCCTGCACACTGAACCAATGGTTCTTGCTTTCTCTTTTGAGATGAGGAAACAGAGGACCACCTGCAGAGATTAAAAATGTTTCCCAGGTCAACTGGCCATTGCTATAGATGGTATATGGACTAGGTTTTTAGTCCCCAATGGGAGCTCCCCATGGAATCCCCAAAAACTTCAAGGAAGGCTGAATCACAGGGCACCAGGATGGGAGGATGAAAACTTCCAAGAATAGCTTCTTCTTCCAGCATAGCTCCCTGGAATCCCTGAGCAGGCCTAATCAAGGTGTCACTTCCCTCCAGGGGGCAGCGACCTGATTCAGCTGCAGTCATGTCCCCCACCCCCACCCCCACCCTTGTACCAGAGATTGAACCCAAGTGTGCTTAATCACTGAGCCACTCCCCAGCCCCCTATTTTTGTATATTATTTAGAGACAGGGTATAGTCATGTTTCCTAAAGCCCACAGGGTGGCCTGCTGGGGGCCAAGAGGCCAGGGCAGCTGTGGATAGCCCTGAAGTGTTTGGAAGCAGGTGGCCAGGGCAGAATGCCTAGGACAAAATGATGTCCCCAGAGCAGGTGGCCAGTCCCCTGCCTCAGCAGATAGAGGAGTCATGCTTTCCCTAAACCCCTGGCCATCCCACACTGAAGGGAGCTGGGGGAGTCCTCTTCCTTCTGGGATCAGGCCAAGAGAGGATGTTTTATGGTCTGGGGTGGAAGGTTGATTCATTTAGTTAATGTCTTCAGGACATTGTCCTGCTTCCTCCAGAGAGCCTTCCCTGACTACCCTCTCAGTGTCTCTGCCCCCAGTTCTGAGAGGCAAAACCCCAGGACCCTTCCTCCTGGGTTCCCCACCCAGGAGGGTGAGAACCTCCCAGGTTCTGAGAACATTCCCAGGGTAGGATCTGGGCCCCTGCCCCAGTCTTGTGCTGGCATGGCCCTGGGCAACTCTGCTTCTGAGGGAGGAGCCCGGCGTCTGCTGTCCAGGGGGCAGGAGCAGTGGAAGGCTTGACCGGTGGCCTTGGGGCAGACTTCCTCCTCTGAGACACTAGAGGTTTTCTTTCCTTTTTTTGCTTCCCTGTTCAGAGATTTCCCTTCCCCAGGCTGAGGTCAGGGCACCATAAACAGGAGTGATAAGGCTTTGGGCTTTCAAACTGAACTTTGCAGCTGCCATTTTATGACTCTGATAACTTCTCCCCACCCCCCCTCCCAAGTCCGACTGGAGCAGAATTGCCTAGTGTCCATTCCATGAGGGAGCAAGTATGAAGGGAGAAGCAGAGAGAGAAATGGGAACCTCTTACTCCAGCCCACCCTCAACCAGGCTTCTCCTTGCCCTGTGGACCCAGTCCTGGTCTGGGCTGTGAGGAACATGGGAGAGTGAGACACCCTGTCCCTGATCCTGGGGGATGGGCAGAACAGCCTGGGCTGGGAGGTGAGCAAGCCTGAAGGGTAGCTGAGGGAGGCTGAGTAGGCTAGAGCAATCGGAGAAGGTCCTCGGAGGAGTGCTAGGATCGGGCACCAAATAAGTAGTGGAAAGAGAAAAGAATTAGAATTGGAGGAGCCTGGTTTGGGTTGTCTCAGGATGCAGAGGGCAGATATGGTCTGGTGTGAGAGGCAGGCTTCTCTGAAAACATTCTGTCTCAGGGCACAGAAACTTCCAAGGATGAAGGAATGTGTTGCCAATGGTAGCCCAAGATCCTTGGCTCATCCAAAAAGATTTTGAGGTGGCTGGAATCCAGGGATGTGAGAACCAGAAGGTTGTTGGAGTAGCCTGTTGGGGTAGCCTCTGTGAGCTTGGTGAAGCTTGGAAAGCTTAGAAGGTGGGTCTCATGTCTATCAGTGTGAGGGGTAGGGGCTTAAGGCCAGCTAATGAGCTTCCCGTCCCCAAGGTATGCAACACACCAACTAGGTAGAAAATCAGATTCCTACCATGGGAGAGGATGGTTAGAGATCATGGGACAGAAGGGACTCGATGATTAAGATCACCCACCCTCCCACAGCCAAACTGGAGCTGGTTCCAGAACTGGAGTTCTCTTGCATTGTAGGTCCTGCTCCAGCAGCAACTCTAGGTTCCTCAAGGGATGGGGTAGATGTAGGGAAAAACAAAAAAACAAAACCAAAAACATCCTCTGTCCAGTTCTGCTTGGTGGGGAAAAGGTATGGCTCTGATGACTCTTGAGCTTCACTTTGCCCATTTTACAAATGGGCTTGGGTAGACTCAGTGAGTCTTGAGGATTTTGTTGTTCTTGGGGAGATGACCCAGCATCTGCCCTGTGGCCTTGAAGAGCCATCCACAGCCACAAGTGAGCACACCCGCAAGTGGGGCACAGGGGTATACATGGGTCAGGGGCATACATAAGCTTGTCTGGAGGAAGCAGAAGTAGGAGGAAGAGAGGGAAACCACAGCTTGTTGGCCATTGGCTCCCTGATCAGCTCTCCCCATGCATATGACTGGTCCCTCCTGTTAAAAACCACCCCTACACCCTCACTGCTCACCACCATCCTCCTTGGACTCCAGTATTTTCCTGCTCTCGTCGTCTGCCTGTCACCCACCTGATCCTAAGAGTCCCTTCCCAGGACCTGGGCTCCAACGCTGGGATCTGCTGCTGAGACCTCATCCCAAACGTAGCCACAACGTCCCAGGGACACCTCTACTCCGGCACCACACAGAGAGCAACCCTCACGGTCTCCCACCCGCAGTCTATCAGATCTTCCATCTCAACCCACCACAGCACCGACTCTGCCACTCTGTCTCTTTACTCTGCGTACACCATGCACTCAGAAGGCAAGTTCCGGGCCCTCTCTTCTTCCCAGTCTGTCTATCAATCCCGGGATCACCTCACTGTGCGGGTTCTGGGCTGCGCTGGGAAGGACTGGGCACAAACTAGACCCCACCTCTCGGGTCTAGATCCGGTTGGGGGTTGAGGGAGGAGGCGAGAACCTGGAGCTTTGTGCGCCTTATTCCTCACCGGGTGCCCCTCATCGACCTTACCCAGACGCGCGCACAGATGGCCCGGCTCCCGCCGCCCCCACCTCACCCCCAAGTGCGGGAAATCTGGGCAGCTGGGCAGACACTTACCGCGGGGCCGAGGGCGCAGGCGAGGGCTCCTGCCAACACGCAGAGCCAGCGGGCGGGCGGCGGGCTCGGCGGGCGCATGGTCCGCCCTGAACCCGCGGCGGGCGGCCGGTCGTGGGTAATGGGTTGGCGGGCGGCGTAGCTCGGAAGATGGCCCGCAGCCTGACAGAGTGGCGCTGGCACAGTGGCCCCAGCTCTAAGAGGCGCTGCTCTGGGGCTGGGGGCGGGCCGCGGGGGCTCGTCTGACGGGCGGCGGGTCTAGCCAATGGATCAGTGGAGGCGGGGCCGGCGCGCAGGTATGGGGCGGGGCTGGGGCGCCCCCGAAAGTGGGGAGTCCCCGGAGCTTCCTCTTCCAATCCCACGCGTCAGTTTTTCGTCGTGAGGCATTCATAAGCTTTCGCCCCTCCGGGCTCATCTCCGGGGATTCTCAAGACCCCAACACGCCCCATTCTTCCTTGCTTGGCTCACGACTTCCCCGAGCTCCGGGATGCGGTGTCCCACCTCCGTCCACCCCCTCAGTTCTACTCCAGAGCTCATCACGTCTGCCTTTGGAGCCACCTTCTCCAGGAGGCCTCCCCGCCAGCCTCCCTATTTCCCACTTTTGCGCATCTTTGGTCTCTGGAACGTGAAACGGATTACAAGACAGGAAGTGCCACTTATTTTCCCAGGCCGAGGGCTGGGGCCCGCATTGGGTTCAGGGCTGGCAGCGACCGGGGGTAGGTGGGACGCGTTGTTTGGTACATTTTCAACTGACCGGTGTTCTCTGTCGCGCCGGAGAGGCTGGGCGAGGGCAAGCGAGCGGCAAACGATGCCCGATTCCGGGATCCTCGGTGCCTCTCCTGTTTTGGGGTCAACTGGCGGGACCTGCTCCGCACAGGCACAAGGCCCTGGACTATTGTACCCCGAGGGGCCCTGCTCCAGGGAGATGGGAGCGTCCGCACCCTCGTGCGTCTCGGCTCGGGCACCTCCCAAGGGAGGCTGGGCCGAAGTTCCAGCGCCCTCGCGCGGGGAGGGAAGGTCTGTTCCCAGCTCTCGGCCCGGGAACTGCGGTTGACCTAAAAGGAACCAAGAAACCTTGTCCTCATCCCGCCTTCTTTATTTTACAGCTGGAGAGACTGAGGTCCAGAGAGGGTCCAGGACTCGGCTGCCTGCCTCTGGCGCTGCGCTTCCAGGCCCGTCGGTCGCTGGGTGATTTCGGGTTAGCCTCTCTCCATAGCCGGTGCTTCAGGCTCTGTTTACTCGACTCTAGAATGGGGCGCCCTCTGAGAGTGTCTTTCTTATGAAACAAGCTCAGATGGCTGCCTTGCCTCTTTCCGAGGGCTCGAACTAGCACCATAGAGACTAGAGGTGTGGTGGCAGCGGCCAGGATGGGCGGAGGGGAGTGGATCAACATGAATAGAAGAAGTGGCTGTGTCCAGTGGAGAGACGGAGAGGGCTGCGCGTCTACACAAGTGAAGCAGAGCTTGCAGCGGCTTGAACGAAATCTGATTCCAGGCGTCTGCTGACCAGCAGGTGCGCTGGAGTTTCTGAGGACCTGCTGGGATTTCCCTCCTTACAGCGCAGGAAGCTCCAGTTTCTGACTGCTGTTGGGGTGGGCTTGAGGAGAGCCGGTAAAGCATGAGCACTCTGGCCCCTCCTGGGTTCCTCTTACTTGTGGTGTACCCTGGCTGTCTACTTTCCCTCCTTTCTCTTTTCCAGCATTCCGTCACCCCTCACCTCCTCCTCTCCCCTCTTTTGTCGACCTTCTTTCAATGATCCTCTATGAACCACTGGCTATGCCCTGGATCCTGTGCTATGCACTGGTGGCATAGAGGTGGATACCTCTGAGGCACTCCCTTAACAGAGGAGGACCTGGCTAGTTATTGCTCTCCCTATAGTTTCCACCTCCGTTTTCATTAATCAGGGAGCTTCCCAACATGTGGGACTGGAAGTGTCTCTGCTCTGGTCTTTCTGGGGTTTGGACCCAACCACTCAGTGAAGGTAGTGTTTGAATGATTGCTGGCCAGTTCCTCAACTGTCAGTATTCCTGGGGGCAACACTGTTTGCTCAGGACTTAGCTTCTGCTTATGACCCTGTGTACCACCTTTCAGGCCTCAGTACCCAGCAGGGCAGTTGCATCATGTCTTTATTCTGAGGAGTCACCTCTGCTGGTGCGGCACCCAGGAGCCCTCAATGTGAACAGCAAATCTGTGCATCTTGGCTCTCATAACCACCACCACCCCTTTCACACACACATTGCCTAGCCAGCTGCAGGATGCTGGTATCTCACTGATGATGGGATATCCTCCTGGCCTGTTGACGTTCTCCTGTTCTCTCTGAGATCAGTGTTCTCAGGCACTTGAGAGAGTACTGAGAGGGATGAGGATTGGGGAATAGGGGGGACCCCACTTTGCCATGTGACCCTTACCAGGTGGCTGTTGGACAGGGTAAGAAGGGAGAGAGAGAGAGAATCTTAAAGTCATCAGTGAGAACGGGATACCCTGTCTACACGAATCCCCTCTTCAATTGAGGGCTGGATGGCCGTGCTGGAGCAGAGAGGGAGACTAATAGTGCCTCCTTGTGTCCTTGTAGTCCTCCTCCCAGAAAAGGGAAGGTGACTCAGGGAGAATAGTTTTGCAGTAGATTCTTTGCAATGAAAATCATTTCTTTGTTCTTTCAGAATTGTTCCTCTGGGGGATCCACGCTTTCTTACTATCTGAGGTCCCAAAACATATTCAGAAGTGAAAAGGAGCAGAGAAGAGAAAAATAGCAGAAATAAACAAAAACCTAAAAAAAATTCAACCAAGGCTAAACTTGACCATGCTTCCACTAATTGCTCCAAAATGTCTTGTCCTGTGTTCTCAGACACTGGGGAAACCAAACATGGACTCACTCTTGGGGAGTTCTGATGAGGAAGCCATTTTTTTGCTTACTCAGGTGACCTGAGGAGGCTTCTGAGAGGGGAGGAAGTGGAGGTGGGAGAGACAGGCTACAGGGAGTGGAAGTAGTTACGTGGGATGTCTGTTCCCCACCCTGCTACACTGTGCCAAGTCTGAGCTCCTCTAGTGGCCTTACAGTACAGACTGGGGAGGAGGGCCACAGACACCTCCTGCTCCCAGTCCCCATGTCCTTCTGCATTTTCTGAGCATTTTGTTCAGAGTTCTCCCCACCTGGATTCCTGGCATTTCCCCCTAGACTTTGGTTCAAGCTCCCGCCTCCCTCCTGCTTTTCAGAATCACAGGGGTTCAGAGGATGCAGGAAGTGGGGGAAAAGAGATGGAAACAGAATCACTTGCCATCCCCCGTGACAACAGGCACAGCACAAGGGAATCTGCAGTTACTCATTGGGAGCCTGCCTGGCTTCCTGCCTGCCTCATCCCTGCAGTGTGTGCCACCCTCGCCTCCTCCAGTCCTTCAGCCCCTCTCAGAATCATGCACACACTGTCTTAAAGATCCTGCATAGGAACTCAACGGTGGCAAGGTTCTTCAGTAGAGTGAGAAGGGTGGGGACCTAGAGTGGCCTTGACCTGCATAATGAAGGTCAGAGGAAATGACCTGACCAGGGGAAGTCACCACTCCAGGATTCTCCATCCACATTACTGTTAGGATACAGGCAAGCTTTGCCTTCTCTGGATTTCTGGACCAACACCTTAAAGTCTATATTCATGGAATGGGTCTGGCAGCTCCAGGGATATGGGGTGCTTACTACCTCCCCAGGCTGTTCCTTCTTTGGGGGCCATTTCTTTCTGTGTGTAGGTATATTTTAACTCCAACTTGTGGTTTAGTGGAGGGTAGGAAATCCCTTTGGTAATAGCATGAATTTTGTTCATTCATTCACCTCTCACGTATCACTTATCCTGGTCTGGCCTTGTGATGGGGCTAGGGATTTGAGAATCACTTAGACACATCCCCTTCAGGAGATTCTAGCATTGCTTGGGCAGGGGTTAGGGAGGAACTCTTGCTGTTGCTAAAGGTGCATTTAGGAAGAAAACAAAGTTCATGGAGTACAGGTGATAAAGAAAGAATTGTTCAGACTGCCAGATACAGAAATAAAGCCCAGGGACCAGTTCTAGAAAGGCCAATCATTGATCCTGAAAAATGGGACTTAGAGCTGTGTGGGGGAGAGGGAGTGTCAACTATAGGTACCTCAGTTTAGCTTGTCCTGGGAGCTTGTCCTGGAAGTTTATTGGATGGCAGGGGGACCCTATGAAAGATAGAGGAGAAAGAAGAATTGGGCAGAGAGATCCTTGGACGTTGTACAGATCTGAAAGTAAATTCCTGCCAACCCAATTGTGAGTCCCAGAACAAAGATTGCACATAGAAGCCTTAGTCACTCTACTGTGCTTGGTCAATGGTTGGGGTTGTCAAGAAGAACATAGTCATGGCTTAAATGCTGTGGTGGGCCCTGAAGGTAATATAGCTAAGGCTGTCACATGGCATGCCCTATAGCTAAATGGCACAGGAAATCCCACAGTGGGGAAACTGAGGCTTGGGAAATGAAACAGGGAGGGGAGATTCTGCCATGCTCTAGGGGATAAAGAGGAGAACTTGGTCTGCCCTTGGGAGCTCTTAGTCTAGGCACAGAGAAGAATGACCTGAGAATTCCTTTCCTCACAATCATGGGCTCAGTTTGGTCCAGGGGTCAGCAGTCTATCACCAGGCAGCTTGGCATGAGGGTCATGGTGCCTTGAGTCTGGGAGACTGAAGAGGGAGGGACTGTTCCCTCCCATTTATTCTCCAATAACAGCCACAGACTCTGGTCAAATGGTTACTGCAGCAGGTACGAGTATGTCTATGCATGTGGGTGTGTGCATGCATGTATGCACGTGTATGCCTGTCCATATGTGTCCGTGTCTGTATGTGTCCTTGTACGGATTCATCTGTTCCCAGGTGGGAGTCAGAGTAGGGCTTGGCTGGTTCCCAGGAGAGTAGAGCTGGGGAAAGCTAGGGTCAGAGAGGGATGAATCTCAGAGATGGTGCCCAGGACCACAGACATCTCCAGACTGTTTCTCAGAGCTCATTTCTGGGGCAGTAGATTCCACAGGGAATGGCATATTCAACCATAGGGAAAGCTCAGAATGACTCCACAGGGGAGCTCAAAGTTCTCATTCACTTCCCTACTCCAAGGCCTGTCTTCCTGAGTTGGTATGTCATTGACCTTGGGCAGAGATTTGGAAGAGAGACATAATGTGAGTGTGACAAAATAGACATTGACTTTAAATAAA